TGGCAGGGCCTGCAGCAGCAGCAACTCAGGGACATGGGGACAAGGCCAGGTACAGCATCCCCATCTCCTGGAGCTCATGCAGCACAGCTGGGACAGGGCATCACTGTCTGGACATTGGTGCCCACTGTGTGGGGCACTGGGGGCTGCTGGGACGAGCTGCCCCATGGGGCAGCATGACATTTCCCCATCCCCCCCCAGCCCGTCTAGGGGAGGAATTTTCCATTCCCGGATGGAGGCTGGGGGAAGGCGCCTGCCACATTCGGCTCGGGAAGGTGCGGAGCGAACGCCTGCGGGGAGGGAGAGGCTGCAGTGCTGGGCCCAGGCGATGCCGCTGGATGGGGATGCCCTGATGCCGGCACGGGGCCGCAGCATCACCCATCTCACCATCGCCTTCCTGAGAGCCACCAGGATCCCCGGGCTGCACTACGCCTGCCCCCGCCCGCAGTCCCGCCTGCGCCGCCTGCTCTGGAGCCTGGCCTTCGCCGCCGCCGTGGGTTTGCTGGCCACCGGGGCCACCAACCGGGCACATTACCTGCTCTCGCACCCGGTGCACACACGGGCACGCATGCTCTGGGCGCCCCAGCTGCGCTTCCCGGCCGTCACACTCTGCAACCCCAACCGGGCGCGCTTCCTGCAGCTCACCAAGCCCGACCTCTACTCTGTGGGGCAGTGGCTGGGGCTGGCCTGGGAGAACCGTTCGCTGGTGCCCGAGCTGCTGGGCCTGCTGCACGAGGACCGGCGCCGCTGGCTGTCACGCCTCGCCAACTACTCGCGCTTCCTGCCGCCGCGGCGCTCCGAGCGCACCATGCAGAGCTTCTTCCACCGCCTGGGCCACCAGATCGAGGACATGCTGGTGGAGTGCCGCTTCCAGGGCCAGCGCTGCGGCCCCCAGCACTTCACCCCTGTGAGCGCCCGCCTTGCAGGGGGCAGGGAGGCTGGGCTGGCTGTTGGGGTGCATGGTGCGAGCTGGCCCCCCCCACCAAGGGCAGGGGAGGGCAGCGGGGAGGGGAGGCTGAGAGGTCCCCCCCGGAGCTATGCTAGCCTGTGCTGCAGGACTGCAAAGAGGCCCTGATCCTCACCCTGCTTGCAGACTCCCCTGCCAGCTCCTTTGCCTGGCCCCTCAGCCTCTCTTTCTCCACCTCAGGTCTATACGCGCTATGGCAAGTGCTACACCTTCAACGGGGACCGGAGGAACCCTCGAGTGACCCGCCAGGGCGGCATGGGCAATGGGCTGGAGATCATGCTGGACATCCAGCAGGAGGAATACCTGCCCATCTGGAGAGAGACCAGTGAGTGGAGCCTGGCTGCGGGACAGGGCTCTGGGCACGCGGGCACTGCTGGGGCAGCCATGGGGCAGGGCCCCGGGGGGGTGGAC